AGGAAGTATAGGATAGACTAAGATTTGATCCTGCATTGTCTTGTACTCCAAATTAATCATTGTACTCCTATATATATGCCCATAAGACTCAAGCAATAACAACAACTATTCCACCAAACCTCTCTCTCCATTCTAACAAAATTCATTCGGACTGAGCAAGCCACTGAGCACAATGCATGGACCAACTAGATTGACATCGATAGAATGCTTACGGTCAATCACATTCAAGAGTTTATCTACATATATGGTTCCAAGGCCAGCAGGTTCAGGCCACCGAGGGAATCTCCCACTTCATTTGTTGGAATTTTCCATCCAATGGCGAATCGTCCATGACTCTCTGCTTACAAGATCCAATTTGAGGGGATCATGGCTACTCCCATAAGGTTATATATTATCTGGAACATTCGGGCTTCACCTACATGCAGATTCTTTCCTTGGCTTATATTCCAAGATTGGCTGTGTCGATGGGGGAATATTGTATTCGCCGTTCATTGCGTCGTAATGTCGACGCTTCGCACAGAGTTGGCAAGCGAACGATCTAGCCTGGCCGGCCCGTTAGGGCGTTCCACTGAATCTGGTTTTCGGAACCTTCTAGGATGTTTTAAACCCGGTTTTTAGTGTAATGGGAACCTTCTAGAAGGTTACTTAACCGATTTTTTTCTCAGTTTCTTTATTTTTCTTTTTTGTTTCTTTTCTCTTTTCATTTCTTTTTTACAAAAATTCAAAAATTTCAAGTTTTTTGGTACATTACAAAATTGTTTCTCTAAAAAAATTGTGTTTCAGGAAAAAACTAATTTTTAGAAAAGTGTTTATGTTTAAAACAAAGTTCAGATTTCGAAAAGTTGTTCACAATTTGGAAAACATGTTAATTATTTAAAATTTGTTTGGAATTTTAAAACTGTGCACAATTTTAAAAATTATTCACTTTTTTGAGAAAAAATGTTCGAAATTTCAAACATTGTTTTTTTTCCCAAAAAGTTCACATTTTCAAAAACGTTTTGGCATTTATTTTTTTTCACTTTTCTGAAGGTTTTTTTCCTAAAAAATGAAGGGAAAAAAGTAAAATGAGGAACTATTACGGTGCCATCCGGTACAACAAGAAACTGCTACAGTACCACACCGTTATATTAAGTCGCTCGTGGTAGATTGTTACATGGGTCGGCCCAGTTGGAAGTTGTCGGGGCGTCGGGGTCACTATTTGCCGCAGCAAGCGGCAAATAAGAGCTCCTATGGATTGGGGCCGGATCGGCTTGAGCGACGCAGAGACTAAGAGTCTTATTTTACCGTTTATAAGTCTACACGTGCATATGAGTTTCTCTCTGAACCTTTTGATTTTCATAGGTTCGAGATCTATAGTAGTTATAGCATAAAATATAAACATTAATTATAAACTTGAAAATAAATGATAACACAATTGTTATTGCTTCTAGGGCATATTTCCAACATCTTCTCCGGCCAAAGTACTTTCAACATCAGGACATCCTATCCTTTTGGATGGGTGACTAAAGAGAGTTTCCGAAACTCATGAAGCTAATCAAGTCCATGCAGTTCTAAAAGTGGTGGTGTCGGTACTCCGATATTACCGTGGTTTCTGTACTGAAGCGTTGGCAGGATTTCACGTCGCAAAGATTGATAACATGGAGATGTTTCGTAGAAATTTCAATGTAGTTCTCGGTTGTACTCCCTCCGTTCCGAATTACTTGTCTTAGATTTGTCTAGATACGGAGGTATCTAGCACTAAAATGAGTCTAGATACATCCGCATCTAGACAAATCAAAGACAAGTAATTTGGAACGGAGGGAGTAGATGTTACTTTTTAATTTTTGGATCTATGATCCGAAGCATTGTAATTGTGATATTTGTCAAGTTTGAATAAAGTTATAGATCATTCTAAAATAAGTAGTGCTACCAAATCTTCAAGGCAGAGTAGCCAAAACACGCATTCTTGAATTGAAATGTTAAAGCAGTGTACGAAGCAACGATGCACACACATTTCTAAGACTGTGATATCATCATGACTCAAATGTTCAGTTCGACTCGACATACAATCCTCAAATGTAATCGACCGGCAACTTCTACTACGTCCATCAAAGGTTTGCAGCGATTCCATCTTATTCAGAGAGCCAAACCATTATCTCTGACACCGCCAGCTTATATATGTCGTCAGACGCCACATTATCTCCGAACTGGTTCCTCATTCCATTTATCTGTTTGCAAAAAAAAAACACACACCTAATGTCAAAGGATGCTCATGTGAGGTAGCTAGAATTTATCAATTGATTTGCTTTGGAA